GGGGGGGGGGCGGGGAATGAATGACTCCAAGATTCCTGGATGGGTGGAAACTGCAGTAGAGGAAACTTTCTTGCATTTTGGATCAACTGTTCTGGTTTACTATATCAATACTCTCTTACTAGAATATATTATAAAGAGCTCACTTTACATAGAATACTAACAACCCTATGAGATTAGGTACAATTTTCTTCACTTGGTAGATGAAGAAAAAAAGTGATATAGGGGTTAAATAACTTGTCATAGAGGTAGTAAGCTGAAGAGCCAGTATTCAAACCCTAATGATCTAGTTGGAAGTCTGTATTTTTAGTTCCTATATTTAACTGCCTTTCAAATGATAATAAACCATGACTGCCCCCCCCCAAACCCAGTATCTTAAATCCATCCTAAAAACAAATAAATGTCCCTTAAAGGAAACCCTAATAATTTTGGAATAGTAGGCACATGTGTCATGATCACTACTTAAAAAGCTCAATATTAAGCTAAATTTATAATCACACACTTTTAAAACAAGGTAATAACAATAAAGTTTGAAGATAAGCCTAGACTGAAATACGCTGATACTATAAAAAAATTAGGTTGATACTTGGTCTAAACTGGTGGAGCTAATTAAATGAGGTTGCTACTACTACAATCACAAAGAAAAAAATTAACTTTATTAATACAAGATGCCCTTCTAAAGCAGTGCTTCTCAAATGTGAATGTACACACAGCTTGCTGGGGACCATGTTAAAATGCAGATTCTAATTCAGTAGGTCTGGAGTGGGTGAGAGTTTGCAATTCTAACAAGATCCCAGGTTATGTTAATGTTGCTGATTCACTAACTACATTTTCAATATTAGTTCTAGAGAACTGATGAGAATTCAAATTTATTTTCTAAAGCCAGAAAAGACCGTGTATTCCTTACTCTTCAATAACGTGGATGACAAATGCTTTGTTTCTGCTGTAACAGTGATATTTTTCTGCTGAGAGGCAAGACTGCATCATATAAAGGAACATCTAATTTTAGGAAACAGTTCAGGAACTCAACAGTACTGCATCAAAAATGTATTGTGGCCCGGCCAGGCGTGGCTCAGCGGTTGAGCATCGACCTAGGATCCAGGAGATCGGGGTTCGATTCCTGGTCAGGGCACATGTCCAGGTTGCGGGCTGCAGCCGATCAATGACTCTCTCATCATTGATGTTTCTATCTCTCTCTCTCCCTCTCCTTTCCTCTCTGAGATCAATAAAAATATATTTAAAAAAAAAAAATGTATTGTGGTATGTGATGGGAATATGAGCTATTTTTCTAAATTGCTAACCAGTTGTAATACTTATTAAGTAATCTAACTCCACTGCTTGAAGATGCTTCCAATCATATTAAATTCTTATATATAGTAGAACCATCATATTAAATTCTTAAATATTTCTAGACTATCAATTCTGTTCCAGATAATGAACAGAATGAATTATGTGCCTATAACTTGTTTTAAATCATGCTATTTTTAACTCTCTGAGAGCTTACTTCTCCAATATATCTCCCCCTTCCTTACCACCTTCAATTTCTTCACTGTCAATTTTTTTCAGATGCATGTTAGAATATCTATTGTAATTTTAATTGGTATGGCAGTAAATCTATGAATTAAATTCAAGAGCTCTAAGTACCTAGGAATAAAAGATAATTGTAAAACTTCATGGAAAAAATATAAAACTATATATATATAAATTCCTCACAAACATGTAAAGGCATGGTTCAATTTTAAAAATAACTATTTTGAGGTATTTTTATTAATCTTTAATATTCCTTAAACTATCTATTCCACTTTGTATATGTATATTTCAAATTAATCTCTTTTTTTATCCTTACTTGAAGATATGTTTATTGATTTTAGAGAGAGAGGAAGGGAGAGAGAGAGAAGTATCAGTTGGTTGTCTCCCAAGCCACCCTGACCAGGGATCAAAGTGAAACCTAGGTATGTGCCCTGACCGGGCACTGAACCTGCCACCTTTTGGTGTAGGGGATAACGTTCCAATGAACTGAGCCACCCAGTCAAGGCACAAATTAATCTTTTAAAAATGTGTAAAAACAGAACTTAAGCCCTGGCCCGTGTGGCTCAGTTGTTTGGAGCGTCATCCTATACACCAGAAGGTGGCAGGTTTGATGCCCGGTCAGGGCATATACCTAGGTTGTAGGCTCAATCTCCGGTTGGAGCACCAGTGAAAGGCGACTGATGTTTCTCTCTCACATAGATGTTTGTTTCTTGCTCCCTCCCTTCCCCTCTCCAAGACCAATTAAAAAAAAAAAAACCAACAAAATTTTTAAAAAAAATCTGATTTGGGGAACACCTCTATCTAGCAAAGTAACTACATTAGGAGCACAAAATGAAATACTGAAAGGTAGAACTTAAGATTGGAATAAACAATTCTATGGGCTTCACAATAATTTTCTCCCCAAACAAAAACTTAATTCCTTCATGGTTTATAGCAGTTGATAATTTTTAATTAAGCAAATTAATTAAATATGGTATTAATGTCAATTTATGTTAACATTTGGCTTGTATATGAATCCCCTTCCAGAAAATAATCCTTTCTTCTTGCCTTGTTTTCATGATTTCCAAGAGGGCTTACAAATATTATCTCAAAAATGCCAACACCTCTAAGGGTTCCTTAACTTCCATCTGCTGAACTAGTCTTTTTTGTGAAGTATAGAGATAAGGTTCTTTTGCAAGAATTTTAAAATAATAATGGTGCAGAAGCATTTAAATTCCAAAGACTTCTCAAAAAAATATTTAAAACCCTGGCTGGTGTTGCTCAGTTAGTTGGAGTGTTGTCCCATATACCAAAAGGTCGCCGGTTCAATTCCCGGTGAGGGCACATGCCCAGGTTGCAGGTTTGATCCCTGGTCAGGGTGGATACAGGAGGCAATGATTGATGGTTCTCTCACACTGATGTTTCCCTCCCTCTCTTCCTTTTCCTTCCTCTCTCTCTAAAAAAATCAATAAAAAACATTTTAAAAAAAGTACTAAACCTTAGGGAAATTTTTAAAAATATCTTTAAAAACATGCACACTGTATTGTATTTCTTTCTGTTTAGTTCCTCACTATGGAGCTCTGCATTTCCATTGTATAGAACAGAAGCCTTATATACAGCTGTCATCAACAGTCACACAATTTGTAAAATGTAGAACTAGACCTTAAAACCGAGTTTCCTGATTCCAAACCCAATAATATTTTAACACTCATTCTACATTTTATATTAGTAAACCACTTAGGAATTAACATATGCCTGTGAAACAATATAAAGGGTTTAATGCTGAAACCAAGCAGCTGCACCAATTTTCCTTTTTTTGGCCAAATTGTTCAAATTTATCTTTTCTTGAACACCTGAAAATTACTTCTGTTCTAGAAATGGAGTTTCTTTTTGTGCTTTTAAAAAATGATTCTAGTTAATACAAGTTATTTTTATCTCTTCTTGGCACTGATATAAATGAATTATCATCAATGTTTAAAGAACTTTTTAAGTAAGGTACAAGTACTTCTAATGTCTATCCAAGTAATTTCTTAGTGGGAGAATGTGTTTAAGTTGATATGTAAACTTGATCCCTCAAATAAAGGCAGCACAGAATTGGTACACTTTGCTATCAATCAATAAATTATTTCATACTTCAGTAATTAGTGACAATCAAAATTATAATTTTTCATAAAATGTATTATCCCCATTAGGCAGGCATACATTTTAGAGACCTAAAAAAATTCGAAACCACATTCAATATTTGGCAGTTTTATTTCTTAAATAAAATTTTGTATTTGAGAATGCTGTGATAACAAAACAAAGTACACGAATATCAACCAACTTCTTCCATGCCTATAGGACATTTAACTAATTTCTAGTTTTTCCCAAAGTTTGTGGTAGGTTTACTATCCTAAGCATTGTGGCCTTCAAACCAAAGTGGGGGAAGGGGACCCTCAATCTTTCTTGGTTTTCTCAACTGGATAAAATATTGGATAACTAAGTTTATTAAAAAGCACACTGCTGTAAGTAGGGTTAGAACAAGTATCTGAAGAATTTGTAATTTGCCTATGAGCTTTAGTGCAAGAATGATGATAACCATGTTGGATGTTAAGAACCTGAAGAATTTAATAACCAGTTTTTGGTAGGTGAAGTTGTTGGACAGGTAAGGATACTTAATAATATAAAAATCATTATCATTCTTTAGAAATAGAAAATACTTGTTTTTATGAACTACAGAAATTCCCATTATTTGGCATTATTCTGTGAATAGTATTTACACTCAGAATTGTAAGTCCGCTAGTCTGCCTATGTAAAATGTCACATAAATATCTAAGGTGTATAATTCAACAAATTATTTTACTGTACTAAAAACAGTTTTAATATTCTTAAATGGGGGGGTCACTGGGGAAAAAGGGGACATCTATAATACTTCCAACAATAAAGATAAATTTTAAAAATCGTGATAACATCTAATTATACTGTTCTATATGCCCATATTTTATCATAAAGAAATTTCTAGCCCAAAAATTATTACTTAAAGATCAAAACCTTTGCAAAAAAACATCTCTACCAATTTTCTGATGTTTCTGAATTGATAAACATCAAAGAATAAAATGCTCCTTTAGGCAATTTCTGGGAAGAGAGATCATTATAATTTATCATGACCTATTATATGCAGATCATAAGATAGAAAATTAATCCACTGAACTGCTTAATGAAATGACTCTATGAAGAAATATATATATACATATATATACACACACACATATATATGAATTCAAGATACAATGATCATTATTACAAATTAGTTTTATACTTTTATATTCAGAATGTGATATGTTTGAACAGAATTACAATGACAAATTAGGAAATACAGTTACACTGCCAAGTAATAAGATGCTATAAAGAAGAACAGTTGGGATTCAACAAGGGATAGTGTGACCCAATATACCATCAACCTTCAAAATATTAGCTCCATAAAGCAGACTCAAATAACCTGAATTAATGTAGGAAAATCAAAACTATGTGTACTTAATCTATTATTTAAAATTTACTTTCTCAAATATTAAGACATTCAGATTTGTCATTTATGTTCCAGCTATTATGCTATATAAGCTTACAGGTATAGTATACATAAAAGCAGCAACCACATGTCAGGTGCTCAATATTTATTTGTTGAATAAATTAACAAATATTCCCCCTCATCAGCTTTTTGCCCAGCTGCAACTATCGTAAGAAATCCCCATTCACACAAGTTGGCGTGGATAATATCTACCTTAATAATGGCCAAATGATGATGAGGCCAAAGCTGACCTAGGAGGGGAAATATTTGAGTTAGAAGAAAATATTGGAAATGACAAAAAGAAAAGGAGGGCAAGAAGAAAGAATGCTGAAAAAAAAAAAGGTAAATAATACTAAGTCGCAAGTTCAGCTATGGTAAAGTATAGAGGTTATATATGGCAACAGAGGTGGTATTTAAGAAGAAGGGAGCAAAGGCAAATAATATATGTGGCAAATGGCAAGACAAGAGACTCAGAAAAAAACTCAAGGTAATTTGTTAGGGAAGAGTCTAGACACTCAGATTTTTAAAAGATGCATACAAATGAAAGAAAAAAATAACCATGAGTAGACCATCCCTGGGGTTAGTTTTTAAATGCATGAAAGAGATCTGTAGCTTACATTGGAAAACTGAGAATTCTTATAACAAAGATAATTTTTCACTTTTGTAAAAGTTAATTTAGCAAAATGACTTGGACTTTCCCATACACTGGCATTTGCTAGACTTTTTTCTCTATTTTAAACAGAGATAAAAATATAATGTTTAAGATTCTTGAAAGTCCTACCTTATATGGGCTAATTAGTCTTCTTTTAATATCCAATCTATAGCTTCTGTATTGTTCAGCATCACTCATGTCAGTTACCAGTAGTCGAAGAATTTCATAAACCCGTCTAGCATGTTGCTAATAAATGGAACAAAAAAATATATATAAACTTTTCAAGTTACAAATAGTGACACTTCCCCAAAAGAACAGGATATACTGAATATCTGCCATGGTCCAGAATTGTGCTAGGTACCAGATCAAAAGCAATAAAAGATAGTCTCTGCCCTCAAGGAGCTGGCAGTCTAGTGGGTACACAAATGATTGAGATATAGTTAATTTAATGATAGAAATACGCATAAGGTATTATGATAGCATAACCCGGGAATGGGAGAAATGTTAGAAGAGGATTCCTGAGGGAATCATGAGCTGATTTTAAAGGGAACAGAGTATGCCATTCCAGAAAGGGAGGGTATCGTGTGTGTGCATGTGCACCTATGCACACATGCACACACACACATAACAGAAGGAGATTGACACTGCTGGAGCACAAAATAAAAAGCAAGGTGCAGAAGAAGAGTGAGGTTGGAGCACACAGAGCCTTATATAGTGGGGTGAAGAACTGGGCTTTTATCTAGTAGGTGTCAGAAATGGGAAAGTGAGCAAAGTATGCAAATTTGAGTTTTAAGTAAAGCATTCTCTCAGCTACACAGAAGTGGTAGCAAAAAAGAAGGGCAGGCAGACCAATTAGGAAGTTGAGCTATTAAATCAGGTAAAAAAATGATGGGGGCATGAACTGAGATAGCACAAATAAGGATACTAAGGAAACAAGGAGTCTAGAAATAAAGAAGAGGAAAGATTGGCTGTGGAGGAGGGTATGGAATGACAGTGAGTTTTCACAGTCTAGAGAGGTTTAGGAGGCAGAACAACATATAAATCTGCAGAAAATTCTAGTCTAAGGGTGAGGATTTAAGCAATACCAGTATATAGGCAAGAGTTAAAACTGCAAACCTGGTTAAGATCACTAGGGAGAGCATACACAATGAAAAGAGGAGATGTCAGAACCCTAGAGTACAGTGACAGTTAAAGAGCAGGCAGAGGACAGAGAAAAACTGTCAAAGAAATACTAGAATTAGGAAGTTTTGGTACCACTGAAGCCAAAGGAGTAGCCATAGTTTTTGTTTGTGTTGTTTTACTTATATATTTATTGGGGGTAGGTGAGCAGTCAGGAAGATGATATTTGAACTTTCTTGGAAGGGACACCTGAGCTGAGCATGAAAAATGAGTACTATCTGGCCAGGCAAAGATGGAGAAACAGAAGAAGGGGTTATCAAAGGCAAAGAGAATAGTACGCATATGTAAAGGAAAATAAAAGGAAGATGTAGCATAGCTCGGGAATGAATAGCAAGTGGTTCAATAAAGCCAGAGCACGTAGGCAAAAGGGTAGGAAGCTGAGGCTAGCAAGGTAGGCAGAGTCATGATTATGATGGGCTCTGTGTGCCATACTAAAGAGCTTTAATTTCTTTAAGAAAAACAAAACAAAACATGATTTTTAAAAATGTGTTCATATTCCCTTTCTTTTAAAAGCTAAGCTACTAAATAAATTCTCATTACTAAATAAAGGTTTAATACAGTCAAGAGACATCAGTTATTTCTAAAACATACTTTATCTTAAAGCCATTATAGCGTTTTAATGCAGGAGAAGATGGAAAGTTTCAGTTCAAATTAAGTTGTTTAGGTCAGTGATCAGGAAATTTGTGGTATAGTTTTGGAGCTCAGAAGGGAAATATGGACTGAGGATTTAGATGAGATCTCCCAGGCAGAATAAATAGAATGAAAAGAAATGAGAACTAACTAAAGAACTTTGGGAATGAATTGTATTTAGGGAGGATACAGAAGAGTAGAAGCCAGTGAAAGTATCTCAAAAAAGATGAGCCCTGTCCAGTGTTGCTCAGTGGTTAGAGTGTTGGCCCTCGCACTGGACGGTCATGGGTTCAATTCTCGGTCAAGGGCACGTACCTGGGTTGCGGGTTCACTCCCCACCGCTGGTTGGGGCGCATGCAGGAAGCAACTAGTCGATGTGTTTCTCCCACATCGATGTTTCTCTCTCTCCCCCTCTCTCTCCCTCCCTACCACTCTCTCTGAAAAGCAATGGAAAAAATATCCTCAGGTGAGGATTAAAAAAAAAAAAAAAAAAAAAGCAATGAATGCATAAAAAAANAAAAAAAAAAAAAAAAAAAAAAATCAACCAATGAATGCAGACATAGCTGGAAAACAAATCGATGTTTCTCTCTCTAAAATCAATTGGGGAAAAAAGGGGGGAGATAGCAGCATCGTGAATGAAACTGATCTGGTAGGACCCATGGTTTTTTACCTTGCCTTTGGAACCACAGTTACTTGCTAGCAAAATCTAGTTTGGCTTTGTATATGGGATCGGTGCAACTGGATGTCTAGAATGTTTTATTAAACTTAATGAGCACGAAAGCTGTTTCATATGGCTGTGTGGCAAATGTCCTTGGATACTGTCTTCTTCCCATCATACTACTTTCCAGCTTTGCAGTGGTATTTTCTTTGCAAAGAACGGTAGGAATCATTCTCACCATTGGAATTATTGGATGGTGTAGTTTTTCTGCTTCCAAAACTTTTATTTCTGCATTACCCATGGAAGGACAGCAACTTCTAGTAGCATATCTTTGTGCTTTGTTATATGGAGTCTTTGCCCTAATTTCCATTTTTTGAACTGAATTTATCTGGGATGTGGACATCATTAGGACAAATAAACAAAAAGGACTTTGAACTCTTATATTGAAACAGCAAACTGCTCCCATGCAACTCTCATGCAGATCTAATGTTTGACTACTGGCACAATGAAAGTAAATATGTATCTTTTGTTCATTTTTATAGATCTGTCTAATGCTATATTGGATTTACCTGCAGTACGATTAGCTTTACGTGTTTGTGCTTATACAAATAGGAAGTGCTCTTTCTTTCTTCTTCCTGCAGCCTTTGAAAAACAACTTTTTCCCTTATATTATGATGTTTTTGGATAGATTTTTATCAACTGTGCAAAACTAACCACAAAGCTAATAATCTTTCCTAAAAACAATCCAGTCATAGTAAAGAAGACATAAGACATTGCAGAAATATTTTCCCAAGGAATTAGGAAAGAAAAATCACCTGTATTCTCAAGTCAGATGCACCTCAAGCAAAAAAGTGATCCTAATGTAGTTTATGAGTTTGCACTTCAAAAATTTGACATTCCTTTGAATTATCTCATGAAATTTGTGCTAAAATTCAATGATGCAGAAATTCACAGTCTGCCTTATTGTGGACATGAAATATGAACACCTATTTAGATATTAGTATTAACTAAACCATAGTGGCCTAGACTGGCCAAATTAATGCTTATAGTTGGATCTCCATGTTTCCCAGGAAAAAGAAAATCACTTACCTTTTTTGAAAAAGATATTTATAATATCACAGTTACAGTATTAAAAGTTATCAATGTAAAGTGCATTTGATGCTTAATTAAAATTAAACACACACAAAAAAGATGATCACAGTGGTAAGTGGAAAACCAGGAACTATAGTGCATTAGAAGCCAAGGGAGGGGAGGTCAGTAGTATCAAATGCTAGTCCTTATTATTGGAATACCCTTCATTCCACATACGTTCATAATCCCAAATCCTACCCATTCTTCAAGGCTTAGATCAAATACAAATCCAAAATATTCTGATTCCCTTGCTTAGATAAGGTTAAGAAATTCCTTCCTTTCAACTCCCATGCTATTTTTATTACTTTAAAATTCAAATAAACATAAAGTGAAAGTTAAGTGTTTTACTTCAACCCTTCTCCCTGCCAATACTGTCTCCAGGGGTATTAACTACTTTACCAGTTTAGATAAACATTTTCTTAAAAAGGAAAAGTAAGACCCTACTATCCACTTTTCTTCTGCTTATTACACTTAATATAGCCATTAAATAAATTATCTTCCCATTCTATTAATGAGGATATTGAGGCACAGGAGATAAACTAAATTGCCCCAAGTCACAGAGCAAGTGGTGGAGCCAGATTTGAACCCAGGCAATCTAACTTCAGAGCCTGTACTCACTTTTTTTTTTAAATCCTCACCCAAGGATATTTTTTCCATTGTTTTTTAGAGAGTAGAAGGGAAGGAAGGAGGGAAACATCGATGTGAAGGAAACATCAATTGGTTGCCTGCTGCACAAGCCCCAACAGAGGCCAGGAATTGAACCTGAAACTCTGAGGTGCTCAAGTTGATGCTCTTAGCCACTGAGCAACACTGGCCAGTGCCAGAGCCTGTACTCTTAACAACTGTTACCTTCCACACATGTATTCTTAATGTATTTGCAATATTTAAGTTATATTCTTAAATACCTTATTTATTTTGAACTTTTGTTGTGCCTCTATTGCCATATCTTCATTGAATCCTTGCATTAACTTTTCCCGGGAAAAACAGGGCAAATCTTGACAAAGCTTCACAAGCACAAAGTCTCTTAATTTCACATAGCTTTTAGATGGATCTTCCGCTAAAGAAATAAAGCAGAATAACATTTCCTTTACCCAACATAATGTCTTCATCATTTACAATCTCACTATATGTGCTAGTCTAGAAAGGCAAATTTTCTTAAAACAATTATACATATACAAAAGTTACAATGTGAAAGAATTATTCCTTATAAATACAATAATAATACTAGAGCTACTCCTTTCAAATGTAAACTTTTTGATTGGTGTGTTACTATACACATCTTAGTTTTATTTTCAATTAAAGTAGCTGTATAAGCAAGAGATTCAATTCCAAACGCAAGTATTTTCTGACATCTAAGGGTTCCAAAACTCAGTTTATTTAACTTGCTTACTTTAATCTAATAACCTTTATAGTCTGCTATACTTCTTTCATTTAATTTAAAAAAATTCTTCCTTTTACAAAAGCAAATCTTTGTTAGAGAGTAAAATGAGAATATGATATTGATCCTTTCTTCACTGCATCTGAATAGCATAAATCTTCCTTTGTTTGTCTATGTTACCTAAATTAGACTAAGTAGTGGACAAGGAAAACTCAAAACATGATGGGTACAAAGAATACTGCACAATCAGAGAACATGAGTTTGAGTACCATTTCTGTCATTCACAGATGTAGGACCTTGGGCAAGTCACCTCACTTCTCTAAGCCTTCATTTTCTGATCAGTAGAGGTCTTGAAACAAAGAATGTTAAAATGTGGGCTAGTTCTTGGATCACAAGAGTTAATATTGTTACAATATCAATAATATTTTACAAATTATTCAATGCAATCCCTATCAAAATCCCAGGCTTTTTTTGTTTCAGAAATTAACAAGCTCATCCTAAAATTCATATGGATATGCAAAGAACCCAGAATAGCCAATACAAACTCGAAAAAAACCAGAAGTTAGAGGACTCACATTTCTTAATTTCAAAACTTACTACAAAGCCACAGTAATCAAAATGGTACTAGCATAAGGATTGACATGTAGATCAAGGACTTGAACTGAAAGTTAAAAATAAACAATTTTTGATACGGGCACACAATTCAATGAGGGAAAGAATAGTCTTTTAACAAATGATACTCAAAAGGACTGCCACAAACCAAAGAATGAAGTTGGACCCCCTTTCCTCACACCATACACAAAAATGAACTCAAAATGGATTATAGACCTAAATGTAAAAGATAAATTTATAAAACTCTTAGAAGAAAACAGTAGTAAATCTTCATGGCTTTTGGTTAGGCAATGGTTTCTTAGATAACAGAACCAAAAGACAAGCAATGAAAGAAAAAATAGATAAATTGGGCTACATAAAATTTTGAAACTCTTGTGCTTCAAATGATACATTAAGAAAATGAAAAGACATTCCACACAATAGGAAAAAATATTTACAAATCATATATATGATAAAAGACTTGTATTCAGACTTCTTAAAAAATGTTTATAATTCAGTAAAAAGACAATTTTTAAAATGGGCAAAGGATCTATACACACATTTCTCAAGAGGATATACAAATGGAGAGTAAGCACATGAAAAAATGCTTAACATCACTAGCCACAGGGAAATGAAAATGAAAATCAAATGAAATGCCATTTCATGCCCCCTAGAATGACTAATAAAAAAAGACAATAACAAGTACTGACGATGTGGAGAAATTGAAACCCTCATACACTCCTTGTGGAAATGCAAAATGGTAGTCATTTTGGAAAATAGTGTGGTGGTTGTCAAAAGGTGAAACACAGTAACCACACTTTCCATAATTTCTGCTCCTAGGTATGTACCCAGGGAATAAGAAAATATTTCTATTGTCAAATGCAACTCTCTTCATAATTCTGGAAGAAACAAATCACTGATTCTACTCATAAAGTCCTAAGATACTGACATCCTCAAAAGGAAGATGGTACATGATATAAAGAATCGTCTTCTAGTATTTTACTTTAAAATTAAGTGCTTAAAAAAAGAAGGAAAGGGTGCCAATTACACCACAAACACCTAAGTATCCTGTAATACAGGCCATCGATGGTAAGTTTTAATTATCACTATATCTGGCTCTATGTCAAGTAAGGAAAAGGCCATCTCAATATAAAGAATATCCTGAATTGCAAAGGGAGATTCAAAGCCTACTAAAGATCCACAAAGTTAAGAAAAATATAAAAAATAATGGAGAAACAGGCAACTAAAATGACTAAAGAGTAGAAAGTTCCACTTTTTAAAAGGACTGGGTATGGAATCTAGGAGAACTATCTTAATGAGAACAGATGGTACAGCATTTTTAGTATTTTATAATGCTGAGAAATGTTAATGCTGAAAATAAAGGCGGATACCCCAGTTTTCAAAATCAGAAGTCCTTTAGCATGTTTAGCCTTTTCTCTTTAGAGACTTCAGTTTGAAATGAGTAAAGGCTACCATTATTGATGACTCTTCACTGAGATTTAAGAAATACAATTCTTTATCTGCTAATTGGTGCTAAGTATCAAGGACTTTATTGGTTGGAGCAGACAGAAGAAAGTGGTTAAGAGGCTTCACAGAAAAAAACCCCTGCTGACACATTACCCACTACAGAAGACAAAGACTACTTATGTGAACTCGAAGTCTCCATATTAAATTCACCAAAAAAAAGTTCCTTCATGTAGCACCAAGTCCAAGCTCTAAAAGTAAACAGAAGCTAAACAATTTTCAGCTTAGCTAAAAAGAAGTGTTACCGTTTGTACTATGTTTCTGTAATCTTACAAGTCACTAAGCTAGTGAAGGTGTCACAAAACTTTTGATACAGACTAACTTTAGTAACGACGGCTTTATCTCCCAAGCTTCCAAACCATTTCACAGTAACAGGAAAGTCAGATGAAAATATAATTCAACTCTATAAACATGGAACTCCCTTTTAAAAAACAACATGCTTTCCTTCCAATTTATTAATTTACAGGATCAATTCAAAATCTATTTTGGGGTAACTTTTAATTTTATTTAGACTGGACAAGCAAAACCACTACATTACATGAAAAAGGAAGACACTAATAATCTGCCTACTAGCCTATTTATATTCTTTAGTAGCACATCCAGTGTATTTTTTTATTTTTAAACAAATCAGTAAAATTCCAAAATAGCATTTTTAAAAGGTTAACATTTTTTGTGCATGCTAAGTGTTGCAGTTTTAAAAACAAAGGTGTATTCAAACTCCTATAGAATTAATAACATTTAATACCTAATTTGGATGTGAATGTCTGGTATAGTAAGTTTTCTTGGGGGGTGTGGGGGGAGGTAACTCTCAGTTCAATCAGCAACTTCATGAGTAACAAATTTGAAACAATGTTACTAAAGAAGAAAAAAATGACAACATAAATGTTTCTTGGGCCACTTTGGTTCTGTGGTAGTTCACGTTTACATAGCATGTATCATCTGTAATTCCATCTAATGATGACCTCTCCATTTAGAGTAGCGTCTCTTTCCTCCTTCTCAGCATCCTATTCATCCTATGGCTAATTCATACTGAAAGATGTATTCAAAACAAATAGACCTACATTTCACCTTATAAATACTGTTGAGAAGGCATGCAATTTAGGACTATAAAGCACACGCTTTAAGAAATGTGTAATCTATTCAGGAACTACTTACTTGGCTTTTTTTCCTCAGTAAAGTTTAGAACATTCTGCCCCTACATGAAAATTAGAGCATGGTCTCTGAGCAGTGCAACCATTTGCTAAATAAAATTAACAAATAAGTCACACCAAACTTGCAACATATTCATTCCTGGCCAAGATTTCCCAATATATATTCAGTTCATGATCTCCAATTTGCTCAATTAATAAGCGCTTCATATGTAGAGATGTAATCCAATCCCACAAAAGCTTATGATTTAAAATGGAACCTTAAGCCATCTTTAGACAGTTCCCAAAAGACCCAAGGACAATGCTATTTAAAATAGAATGGTTATCTCTGACCCCCAAAAAATCAATCAGTTAAGTTGTTTTTTAGAAAGGCTCTTTTAGTAACAAGTCAAATTTTACATACCTGTAATATCAAGAACAGAAGGAGATGCAATGTAATATCTATGAACTGTTTCAAGAAGTTGAGCACCATGGCCTTGACCTTGAAATGGAGTCAATATCAGCATCTGACTACAGTAAAGAAATGATTTTAAAATTAAAATATCACAACATGACCAGTTTAAAAATTGCAAATCACTAGAGTATTGTGAACATTTTAAAGTCTGTGTGATTTTTTTTCAATCAACTGTCAAGAAATCCAAAAATTATCAAGACACTCCAAATTGGCTTTAATCTTCCTCACTGTTTCCAAGGGAACAATTAAATAAATCAGTATATAACCAATGAATAACTGATTTTTTTTAAACAAATCAACACTATTATAACAAGTATTGGAAACTTCAGCAGTTCCTTCTGAAATAAAAGACAAGGCACGTGTTATACTGCCAATTACCTTACACGTGGCCGGGTTTTGTCTGGGTACACATAGTAATTATAGACTGTCATGTAGCCTACGGTCGCAAAGAGCGTAGCTCCATCCTTATTATACTTCTCAAATCTGCAGATAAAACAGAAAGCCAAGCAGGTCAATTACAGTCACGCTCCCATGCAGTGTCCATTTTCTTTTCCATTCTCTGACTGAATTTTCAGTGTCAGCAAGCTACTCTGTGAGGGCCCAATGGGTACACCTGCTATGTTCTGAATGTACAATTCACTTAATTGGTGTGCAGCAACTTGGATAAATCAGACCTCTTTACATCACTTCAGTGCACTTGCCTATTATAAAGATGAATAGGTGGCAAGTAAAAGAAAACACAGGCAAAGCTCATTTTACTGTTTAAGCCTACATTCAGGGCTCTAACCGACAACAGCATTTAATTCAGCTCTATTCTCAAGGTCTCCCAAAGCATAATGAAGGAAAACTCAAGCCTCATAAACAATAGTTTTTCTTTCCTGGGAAAAATATCATTATACTGTCCCAATAATTGGGCGGCCACAATTAAAATGCTGGCTTTGTGGAGGTAATAAGGTCTACTATTGCTTTAGAACTGTACTTACACTAGAAAGTAGTGCCATCTTTCATCATCCACGTCAATAAAGCTAGCAGTTTCAATAAACCACATCAAAAAGGTCTGAAGCCTTTCATGATATTCTCGAAAGCCTCTACATGTCATGTCAGCCTAGGGAAAAAGCCAGGAAAAGTCAGGTGAAACTCATCACAGAGGTAAGTGAAAGTGCGCAGAACATAAAACAATCCTGTGGGAAAATGTTTAGAAGTCTCAGATTAAGATGTGTACACAGACACACATACAAAATAGACCTTTGTTTTTACTGACAAAAATTTGTTTCCTGAAGTTAAAATAAATCACTGAAAATAACAAAATAGCACATAGGTTTCGGGTATATGGAGTCCTTTTACCCAAGAAATATTTAATTTATTTTTACCTTGTATATCTGAAAGGTAAAGTTTTCTCCTGTTGGACTTAGAACAGAGTATGTATGGAGTAAGGTTCCGTATGGCTTGAAATCAACTTCTTTTTCCAGCAAAGAAAGAAAATCATTTGTGTTTGTACAAAATCCAGGTGGAATGATTTGTCTAATTTTGCCCTCAACATCATCTGCCTAAGGAATGGAGGTTAAAGAACATAGGAAAAAAATTAATAACAAACTTGACTTTTAGTTAAATATGCTTAATTTCTTTGAAATAGACAAAACCCATAAAAAAAAAATCACAAAACTTCAGTTCACAGTTAAACTAAAGTAAACGTGTAGTTAACTGGGAAAGGATGAGTTTCATATACATTAGATACTGCCACATATATCTGAGATTAAAGCATAACAAAGAAATAAAAAAAGAGGAGGCAGGTAGCCTGAAATCAAGTGCAAGAATGAGAGCTACTGAAATTTCTAATATCATGTAGAAAATGCTGATTATTTCCCTTCAGGACAATCTGAACTGGCTAAAACAAAAGGATGCTTATTATTTAATGTGTGTCAAGAAGACCATATTATCCAAAACATGAAAATATCACCAGCAGTAGTGAGGTGAGTATGACCAAAGGAATAGCAACCTCATAGTGAATGAGTAGACAGGTCATAAGTCCCTCATACACTGAACTCAAAATTAAGATAATTTTTAAAATACATCCTCTTAGGATATACAGAAATTATATGAATAGATATATTATCCACTCATCCTTATAATGGGACACAATTCTTATGGACTTGGACTTGTGACAGTAAAAAGAGACAAGCCTGGACAACAAAATTAAACTCAGAGATTAAAATTTCCCTTGTTAAACAACCTCAATGAATGTTAAAACTATCAGCTGAGCAGACTTCATAATCCTTTTCAAAACCCCAAAAGACCACTTGATTGAATACATTTACTACTTTTCTTTAACCATGAATATTTGATGAAGTCTTACAATAAAGTATTACTGCTTCTCACCAGGCAATAAAACTTAATGAATTGGTCTCAACTTAACAAAACCTTATCCCTCAATACAGTCTCTAAAAGCCTGACATTACATTCAACAAAATGAGCTTGCATTCTATTCAAACTTTTTCCTGAACAATGAGGCCAGGTTTTTACTTAATGGAGTTTGCCGTGAGTTCAGCTGTAATGTTTGTATTGTATCTATTTCCACAAGGACTGACACAAGAACACTTTGTGTTAACTTACTAAGCAGCTCTTTCATACCGTTTACATGCATGATGGGTATTAGTTCTAAACCAAGACCCTTGCTACTTAGCATTCAAAACAGGGAAATTAAGATGCTTAGGACAAAATACACTACAAAAGGCTAATACAACATGCTACTAATTCCTGTCCTTTCAACCATCTTTTAACTAAGTAGAAGCAATGCACCTGCAGATGAATAGCACTTTATTATCATTCAGTTACATTTTAGGATACAGAACCATGGATGGAGTTTATCACAAGTTTTATTTTCAGTGCTTTGGTACCACCAACATTTATATATAACTTACTTATAGGTATAAAAAAGAGCTATTATTTAAAATATAGCTCCTCAACATTTTGCCCAGCAGTTTATTTCTAATATGTACACCAGTCCTTGAAATCCATTCACATTCAAGATCAAATAAACTGCATTTGATAGGATTATTTTTATTTTAAAAGTAGTATTTAATATTTCTCCTTGAAACTGCAATCTAATGTGAAGAGACCATTTTAAGCATATTTTACAGAATCTGTACAATTTCAATAATTACAAGAGGAAACTAATAAAAACGGATACTTTTAATAAGTCTGTTGTTTGGCAATTAAAATCCAGAGTAGTGATGGGTAAAGTAATATAATTTTAGTTCAAAATTAAAAAAAGAAACACTACCTAAATAAAGAGAAGCTTATAATCTACCAGTTTAAAAGAAAACATGTCAAGACATTTATAATGCATATTATTTTAATTTTTAAAAAACTTTCCCCATGTCCCATCTTCTCAACAAGGCACTGCAAAGCATGATCAAATAACTTCACATATCTTCCATCAAATATGTTTCAAAGATTTCTCAGACACTCCTAAGTTTCAAGTAACAGTTCTGGTAGAAGACAGAGCAACACAAAGGTCTGAGCTAAATAAAGTTGAAAGAGTTAATGTTTAACTTTCAGCCTTCAAAAGATACCTATTTATTGTAATAAATATCTTTAAGTAAGTATTTTGTTCTGGGCAAGTTTACACGTTACTTTAAGAACTTTCACAGGGGAATAAAAGGATAAGTTTAAAAACAAGAAATTTGTTATTTATAATAGGTTAGAGAAAATGTACAAGGTGGGACAAAAGTAGGTTTACAGTTGTATAGAAAATAAATAAATAATAATACAAGAATAAACTCAAGTGTTTCACAACTGTAAACCCACTTTTGCCCCACCCTGTATATGTGACATATTACCTGAAATACATAACATAAAACCAAATAGCTTTTCAAACCTAGAATAAAGAACTTTGTTTCACTAAAGAAAAAATGTTTATATTTCTCTATTAAGTGGACTGTGCCTTAGGAAAAACATTATATAACCACCATGTCTCTGAGATCTGTTCTCCTCTTTCTCCAAAAAAATAAATATATTTTAGTTGAGTTAAATATTCATTTCTTATAATGGATTACTGGCCAGATAATAACATCATCACTGGAGAAAAACCCCATCTAACCATTTTTAATTGAATATACAATTAAGGAGTTACTGAAACCTTTAGTCCCAGTGATTGTGGCTAAAAGTTTAGATTCCATTTCTGAAGATCACTAAAAAATTCCCTATCTGAAGAATTTTATTCTAAACTTCAATTAAAATTATGCAAAAACACAGTTATAGAAAGGATGTGAAATTAAGCCGAATAGATCAAGAATTCAGAATAAAACCGGATACATTTAATTAACAGACATTCCTTACAAATGTTTTCCTAACATTTGGCAATATTTTTTTAAAAAGGAAAGTATGAAAGCAACTATTCTATTTAGGTCATATGTTAGGTGAATCATGATGAAATGTTTTAGATTGTATACTCTCTCACTATGGTCATTTCAATTTCTGACTTCTATACTTTGTTACATATGAGATGTTCATATGAAGCAATTTTTGTTTTTCCTCATCACTCCATAAAACAATGTGCCTGAGAATAATTGGTAGTCTGCTATAATAAAAATGTTTACACTTACATTTGAATTTATACACATTTGAAAAACAAATTACAGCAAGTCCTCACTTAATGTCATTGGTAGGTTCTGTAACTTCAAGTGAAACGATGTATAATGAAACCAATTTTACCACAGGCTAATTGAGATAAATAAGAGTTAAGTTCCTATAGTGTATCATCAATGTTATAATGACTCCGAACAGAAGATTATTTAAGAACCTACAATACCTCTTTAGTGTCTTAACCTAAACAGCACCATTTGTTTAAATTTGTCTATGGTGAGTTATTTTTGAAATAGCAATTTTAAAGGCATGTTAAGTAGGTGGTACTGTCCTTTATTTGGCTAAAGCGGCAGAGACTTAACATTAACTATAATTCTAAGATATGCTATAAAGGCAAGTGAAGAAAATTTCATACCTACTTAATTTGCTCAATTTTAAATTCTCTGACAATATTTAAGTTGTAGAAATTTGAGTACTGTTAGAGAAATTAACACTGTAAACTTTTTCACCACTGGAAAAACAATGGTTGTATTATGTTTGTTTATATTGCATTAATGTTTTGCTATATGAACTCACAAAATTCCAAAATAAAAACCTCAATATATAATTTTAAATCTCAATATATAATTTAAAAAATTTCTATAATCAATAAAATATAAAAAGCTTTAAAATATATTGAGATTTTATATTCCATAAAAAGCATTACTCATAATGAACAGTCACAATTATTATTATTTTTTAAAGATATCTTTATTGATTTCAGAGAGAGGAAGGGAGAGGGAGAGAGAGAGAAACATCAATGATGAGGGAGCTATCACTGATCAGCTGCCTCCTGCACACCCCCGACTGGGGATGGAGCCCGCACCCAGGCACGTGCCCTGACCTGGAATTGAGCAGTGATCTCCTGGATCCTAGGTAGATGCTCAACTGCTCAGCCACACCCGGCAGGGATGTCACAATTATGTTTTTAAAAAAGAGTATAGTGAAATATTATTAGTCTAACAAAGGTTATTTTTTCATTTCCTCAAGATTAGATTTTTGTAAATGCATAGGATTTTTCTATAAGAGGCTAAGGAATCCAGAAAAAAATTTAAATCTGCTTTTATCTACTCAAAATCAGTCTATATAATGGGAGACAAGATAGATTATTGAAATTCACGGATAATACCATAATACCTTATCCATGAATTTCAACCTCCTCTACCAAACCTTTCCCAGAAATGCTAGCAATTAGCAAGGCTGAACAATCCTAGTTACACATCCTTCCACTTAAAAGCAATGAGATTACCTCAAGAGAGAGCAGGAGGTATTAATAAAAGCAAAGGCCAGGGAAAACCATAAGATGAACAAACTATCAGTATCTGAATAATCAAGTTTATTGTATTGTAAAATTCAGAATAATTATGTTGCCTTTAAAGATGAAGGCTAGTGGAGATGTTTTGTAGGCATCTTAATTGTGACTAAAAAATTTTTAGTGCAATTGGAGAACTCTGTTTGGAAAAGAAAAAGGAGGAATAATGAGATTAATGTAATATCAAAATTCTAGTAAGCAAACGTCTAAGCAGGTTTGCTCTGGTTTCTGACCATCTAAAAGGATGTATTTTTCATACGCAAAAATGCTACATAGTATAGTCTGCAAAATCTCAAATATATTATATAATACACTCAAACTAACACACCTACAACAAAAATTTTGACCCCCCAATCTACTTTTCCAATCTTCCCTATTTCAGTTAATAGTACCACTATTGTTAAGCAATGGGGTCTTCCTTATTCCTCTTTCCAAAATATATCCTCAATAAAACAACTAAATGTAGTAACACTGCAATATTCTGGTCTCCTTTCTTTCACCCTTCCCCCCTACAGTGTGTTCTTTGCATAGCAGTCAGAATCATCTTAAAAGTATAAACCATATCATGACCTCTACCTACTTAAAACATCTAAAGGCTATCAACTAATCTTATCCACATGATATAGTTTTGTCTAGCTTTTCAATCATTTACTACTCTCCTCTCCATCACCACTATGACTTAATGATGGTGATCTTCCTGGACTACAAAAATGCCAAGAGTGTTCTCATTTCAGGGCCTTTGCATATGCTGGTCCCTTTGCTGACTAAGGTCTTCCTCCCTCAGATTATTACATGGCTGGTTCCTCTTCATTCAGAAACCAGTAAAATGTTTCTTCATAATACTATCTGAATTTAATTTGTTTATTTACTATTTGTTTACTGACTATTCCTCCTGGCTAGAATATAAGCTCTATGACAGCAGTGACTTTGTTTTATTTGCCACTATATCTCTGGCATCAAGAAAACAGAAGGCACTATGGAATGAACATTCTCACTGCAAATTGAGATAGAAGAGGCAAGACCATTTCCCCAACACCCACTACCTGGTTCTTTTTTTATAAGGTGAAAAAAGTGTTTGCTTGAACATATAATTTAAATAAATCATCTTCTACCATGAAGCAAATAATCCTACAAAAAGACATTATAAAAGATTGATTCTTTACTCCCAACACAGTACTTCTAAATGGGAAAACCTGGTTTTCAAGAATGGAACAATTAGAAGTCAATGCAAATACATAGCTATTTTCACTGCACACAGTATTTGAAAGATTTGTCAATAATTAAGTCAATAGTTCCTTCGGAAGAAATCAATTCAACACTATCAGCTGGAACCTAAAAACCACCAAAACTCTCAAACAATAGTGAATTTTGTACAACACAAGAAAAAAATACCACCTGCATTTTTTAATAAGAGTATCTAGCTGGGCTTGAGAATTTAACAATCTAGAAAGAAATATTTGATTATGGAAAAACTCCATTTTAATAAGTCTGTGTTAAATGCTAGTTTAGCTAAGATTAAATCTTTTTAAACATCAAATCACCACAACTGCAGTTTTACTCAGAAACACTTTTAAATCTGCAAAACTGCAAAAATTTTCAAGGGACACAAACCACTGAATAAAACAAATACTGCATTAAGTAAATCTGACAGGCTTAGTCATCTTGAACAGGGCTGGGAAGTGGAAACAAACAAAAAAACGGTAAGTGCTCAAACTATTTCTGACACTGAAATAGAATAATGGATATAAGAGATTTTTTTAGACCTCTTTCATTCCATAGCCAATTCATGTTACAGTTCCATTAAGCTTACCAATATGGTGTTTTCACCCACAAGGGGACTGTCTGCAAGAGAGAAGCACCTCACAACAGCAGTAAATTGAGAACTTACAGAGTAAAAGTATGGGAGTGGGAAAAAAGTATACATTGTAAAAACAGAAGTACTACTAATAAGCACAAGAGCCTGGGTCCATTTAGAACTGGTCATAAATAGTCCTAATGTTATTAGACAGGATATTATTATATATTATCCACTAAGTATTATCTCCTAGTACAATCTTGATTATTTACTAGTTTAACTGTGTAAAGTCCTTTACAATAAAACAAAACAAAAAATAAAATTATTTTTAAAAAGGGCCATATCAACCAATCCAAATAATGATAGGAGGTTTTAACAAAAAAAGAACAGGGTATGAGCTTGGCAAAAGATGTAAGTCAGAAGTTTAAAGTCAGTTTAAAGCCTTGGAAAAGTTGGCTTCATTGTTAATGCTTTAGGAACTGCTACTTCTAAAGAAGAAAGTTGTGACATTCAGTATGTACTAATACATAAGATCTTCATTTTCCACATTGTAATTCTCCCTAGTTGTATGTAGCAGTATTATCAACAATATGACAGATTTTATCTGATAAAACTTGCTGGCTTCATAGGTCTAAATGATAAGAGCTTTTACTACAAGAGTGAAATTTCCAATTTTCCATTTTATAAAGGTGATTCAGAGACAAAAATGTCATTTAATTAAAAAAAAATCAACTCCATGAAGCAGTTCTTCAAGTTTTAATGCCCTTAATCAGGAATGCGCAGAAACAGAACAAGTCTAAAACATAATATTCTTAAGTTCCCTCAAAGGTTCATGTCCATCCCAAATATGCAAAATACACCTGCCCCCCATGCCAATTTCCCCAGAAGTTTCAACCATTCCAGCATCAACTTAAGTCCAAAATATCACCGTCTAAGTTATCTAAATCAGGTATGGGTGGGACTCTGGGTATGACACATCATGGAACAAAATTCCTTTCCACCTGTGAAACTAGAAAACAAATTATCACTTCTAAAATACAATAGTAGGACAGGCATAGGATAAAAGTTATAGATTTTCCCATTCCAAAAGGGAGAAAATGGTAGGAAGACAGGAGTCACAAGTGCCAAGCAATCTCAAAATCCAGCAGGTCAAATTCCATTACATTTCAAGGCCCGGGAATACTGTGGCTATGGCTCTACCCTCTGGGCCTGAAACTCCACCTTCAGAGTCATTCTTCCTTTTCTTTTTTTTCTTTTTTTCAAAATATGTTTTAATCGATTTTTTAGAGAGAGAAACATCAATCAGCTGCCTCCCACACGCACCCCGACCAGGGAACGAGCCTGCAACCTGGGCATGGGCATCAAACTGGTGACCTTTTGGTGCACAGGACAAGGCTCAACCAACTGAGCCTCACCAGCCAGGGCCATTCTTTCTTTCCTTGAAGGGTGTTTGCAGCTGAATACTGTTATCAGCCTGTTTCCTGCCTATACAATTTTGAAAGTTCATCAGCCTTCTCTCATCTCTTCAGTCCAAACTGGCAGTGTTTTTGCTGATAAAATATTCTCAAAACTCGTGAGTCACCTGTGTATGCTATGAGGATTCTCACCATTAGGGACGGCCCTCCATAGATCTTTCCTCACCTCTCTATTCAATCTCTATTCCTGGCTTTTGCTGAGACTACTGAAGAGATCTATGAGCCACATGCCTAATCTCTTCAGCAAGAACAAAAGGTTATCAAGCCACAATCTTGGCTTTCTTCAGAGCACACTTTCCTGACAATGAATCTCCTAATTTTAGTGTCTTCTGCAAACTGGATAGACTGAGAATATCCCAAATCAAGTCCTGGATCTTTTCTGCTCTAACAAGTTACCACAAACTTAGAGGCTTAAAACAACAAAAACTTATTCTTTCACAGTCTTGCAGAAAAGTTTAAAATCAGTATCACTGAGCTGAAATCAAGGTGTGAACAGGACCACACTCCCTCCATAGGCTCTAGAGAAGAAATTTTCCTTGCCTGTTGCAACTTCTGGTGGCTACCAGTATTCTTGGCTTGAAGCTGTTATCACTCTGACTCTGTGGTCATACTACCTTTGGGGGGGCCATAATTAAGCCTGCCACAGATGCATACTCTTCAGTGCCTCTCTTTGCCTTCACCCTCTTTTGGTCCATTTCTTTCAAATAGTTTTTAATAATGTAATCAGCTTAATTATCCATGTTCACAAAAGATTATATTAGCAAAGTTTGTGGGATTAGAAATGCAGCAAGAGAAACTTAAGTAGGCATTTTTTATATAAAGTAGAAGTAGAAAATTTAGCAATTTCCCTCCATCTCTGGGAAAAGAAGAAATTTTCATATGCGTAATAAAAAACAAAAGTTGGTAAATAAACTACTACTCTGATCATAAAATTGAAGGTTTTTATGGAGAAGGCCCACTCAGGAAAAAGATTAGGCTAAGGATCAAAATTGCAAGGTTAATGAAATGACAGGCAATCACCTCCATAAATAAAAATTGAATATGTGGTTTTAGAGCTACTATATAACGGATTTTCTCTTCCCTCAAACCTTTAAATTTTAAAAACTGTTTTATATTCAGTTGAGAAATACAGTCTAAAATAAATTTATTTCTCTTCTTACCTCTACACAGTCAAAGTTCTCATCAACTTTTGATGCATATTCAACACGGAACATTGTTGACAGGCTACCAGCAATATAATATAACAGGATTTTCAGACCCTTGTAACCAAAAGCAGTTTCACTGAAAGGGGGAAAAACAGCAGTTATCTAAGGCCCCAAAATGAATCTTTGCAAAGTCATTATAAAGTATTAAGCCTATATACCAACAAGTTTAGCTCTATTGGTAGTTTCAAGATTTTAAGCTTTTCTTACATACATTTATTTATTTATTTATTTATTTATTTATTTATTTATTTATTTATTTATTTTCCAATATATTTTTATTGATTTCAGAGAGAGGAAGGGAGAGAGAGAGAAACATCAATGATGAGAGAGTCATTGATCGGCTGCCTCATGCACGTCCCCTACTGGGGATCAAGCCAGCAACCCGGGCATGTGCCCTGACCAGGAATCGAACCGCGATCTCCTGAATCATAGGTTGATGCTCAACTGCTGAGCCATGCCTGGCTGGGTAAAAAAAAAAGAAATATTTGTAATGAAACTGTACCTTGGCTTTCCTCATTTATGAAATAAAAGAATAATAGCTCCAACTTCAGGGATACTATTTATTAAATAAACCATTAATACATGTAAACTGCTTATAACATTGGCACATTGTACAAGTACTCAATAAATGTCTACCACTACTGTGACTGTTGCTGTTTCTACTATTACTAGTACTTGGAGGTATTTAAAATCAGAGACAAGTAATGTTAAACTGGTACCCAGCTAGGCAAGCAGCTAAGGTGTAGCCTTGACCCAGTCCTTACAACTTACCACTTGCTTGCACCACCAACATCCAGAGTTGCTAAAAGTGGTGAAAGCACCTGTCTAATTACGCCTTTCTATGAACTCGGAAAGCAGATCTGCAGCTGCTGCTACTTTTCCAACCCTGCCTAGCTATTCCCTTTTTCCAACTTAAAAAGTCTTTAAAAAAAGTGAATTTTGCCCGGCCGGTGTGGCTCAGTGATTAAGCAACAACCCATGAACCAAGAGGTCACTGACTCCATTCCTGGTTGGGGCACATGCCTGGGTTGCAGGCTCAATCTCCAGTAGGGGACATGTAGGAGGAAGTCAATCGATCATCAGTGTTTCTCTCTCTCTATTCCTCTCCCTTCCTCTCTCTTTAAAATCAATAAAACCTATTTTTTTAAAAAAGCGAATTCTAAACTATCCAGAATAGGTAAATTGACAGAGACAGAAAGTAAATTAGTGATTGTCCAGGGCTAGGGAGGGTGGGAGAAAAGGGAGTGATTGCTAATTGGTTAGAAGTATTTTGGTGGGAATGATGAAAATGTTCTAAAACTGCTTGTGGTGATGACTGTACAACTCTAAATGAACTAAAACCCAACTAATTGTAAACTTTAAAGTAGGTCAAGTATATGATAAATTATCTCAATAAAGCTTTTTTTTTTTTAAAAGAAGTGAATTCTAAAAGAAGAGTACCTGAAAGCAGCAGTGTCACTTCCAGATTTCTGTCTAGCCTAACAAAATAAAATATGAGCAGTGTCCATTCCAGGACTCTGTAAATTAGGTGCAATAGAAAGGAGTGACAATAATACTAGGATCAAGACTCACGTCATCGTTGGATCATAAAACACAGGGTTATCACTATTATGTGATTGTTATCTGTCTACCTTAGACGAGGGGTATGACAGTAAACCACTTTTAAAAAAATTTATTGGGGTGACATGGATTCACAAAACCATAAAGGTTTCAAGTGTACAACTCAAAACATCATTTGTGCATCGTGTGCCCATCACCCAAAGCAAAGTATCTTTCTGTCCCCATTTATCCCTCCTTTGAGCACCTCCACCTACCCTCACCCCTTTTCCCTCTGGCTATCACCACAGTGTTATCTGTGTCTATTACCGGTACACCACTTTTAATGGCATGCAAACCAGACAATCAAAGGTGCAAAATGCCATTAAAAGCAGTATCTATAAAATTATATCCTACCCACTAAGATATTACCACAGAAAGATTTTTTTTTTTTAAATCCTCACCTGAGGACATTTTTTCCACTGCTTTTTAGAGAGGGTGGAAGGGAGAGAGTGACAGAGAGAGAAAAACACTGATTGGCTGCACTTCCACATGCGCCCCAACTGGGGCTGGGGATCGAGCCTGCAAACCAGGTACATACCCTTGGCTGGAATTGAACCTGGGACCCTTCAGTCCACAGGCTGACGCTCTGACCACTGAGCCAAACTGGCTAGGGCTATAATAAAACTTTCTGTTTAAAATATGAAAGGCTCATATTCTGGTATGAATCAATATAATAAAATATAATTATTAATATTTAAAAGCATATTAAATGCCTAATCTGACATATTAACAATGAGACATTCTCAGGAAATTTGTTTCATGAAAAGACATTTTCCAATTTAAAAACACATTAAATATGTCAAAGGTGTTGAAACAATGCATAGGGAAAACAGCCATGAAGGGAAATACCTTAAATGCCAACTGTCTAAACACCCTTCCCTAATACAACAAACCACAGTTCCTTGGGAAAATAGCTGACTCTAGGACTAGTAGGAAATGTACAAAATGGATATGGAACATCTTACTGTATCAAAAAGTAAGTGGGGGTGGAGGTGGGAAGAGAATAACCAAAGAATTTATATACATAAATACATAACTCATGGACACAGACAACAGTGTGATGAAGGCCTGGGG